CACGTGCTTGGGAGATGCTGAAGGACTACTACATCGGACCTTTGAAGACAGAAGAGAAGAAAGACGCAGCGGAGGAGGTCAGTTTTTTCGGTCAGCTGTGGGAGGGCCTGTGGGGGGGTCTCACCGCACCGTTGCGCCTTCTGTCAGCTCCTGCCCCTTTCTTGAATCCTCGAGAAAGCCAGCAGCTTCAGCTTTCAGAGAAGATTGTGGTCAACCATGACACACGCATCTTCCGCTTCAAGCTTCCTTCTCCATCAATGACTTTGGGGCTTCCTACTGGCATGCATATGACGCTGAAAGCCAAGGTCGATGGCAAGCCTGTGATGCGTGCTTACACACCAATGACAGATGACAGCACTCTTGGTCATGTGGACCTACTTGTGAAAGTGTACTTCAAAGGTGTGAACCCCAACTTTCCAGAGGGTGGCAAGATGTCCCAGCATTTGGAAAGCATGAAGATCGGGGATGCCATTGATGTCAAGGGGCCCATCGGTGAGTTTGTCTACCAAGGAAGAGGCCATTGCATCATGAATGGCAAGCCACGGTTTGTCACAGAAATCTCTATGATTGCAGGTGGTACTGGAATCACACCATGCTACCAGGTTCTTGCGGCAATTCTCCGAGATCCTGAAGACACAACCAAAGTGCGCCTCCTCTTTGCCAACCGGACACCTGATGACATCCTCGCCCGAGATATCCTTGATCGATTGGCTGCAGAGCATCCGGATCGCTTCATGCTGAGCCTTACTGTTGACAAAGCTCCGTCTAAGGACGAAAAGAACGTGAGCCCATCAGCAGCTAAGAATTTCGTGCCCGAGTGGAAGGGGCACGTGGGCTTCGTGAATACTGCGATGGCAACGGTGTCCCTCTGTCCAGCCAGCGAGACCGGCCTTTGCTTGATGTGTGGGCCGCCCGTGATGCTGGAGAAGGCTTGCGTGCCTGCGTTGCATGCCATGGGATATGAGGATTCCAACATTTTTTCCTTCTAAAGCTCAACATAGAGAGCTTGGCAGAAGGGTGGTCGATTTCAGCCATTTCGATCACGAAATGTTTATTGGTACCGCGCCCGGTATACCAGACACTAACGAAGCTCTTAGGGCAGACGAGCTCTTCGAGCTCTTCGAGCTCAGTGTGTGCCTTGCATGGAGTGCAGGCATCATCAGATCAATGTTGCATTTCCTCATTTCGGAAGGCACCATGAAAAGGGGTGAGGTTCGCTCGCGCGGAGAGCAATGCTTCGAGGTGTTCTGCGACGAGGTCGGGGGATGGTTGGGTCTGGTTTTGAGGCAAATGGTTTGGGTCAAAGGCTTTGACCGGACGTTTCTTTGCACTGGAACCTGTTACTGATGGGCTTTCATGACAAGGATTCGCTCTTCAGACCCGTCGTCAACGGAAGAATGTTGCTGTATGCACAAGCAGCCTCTTTTGGAGTGGGAAAGCAACGTTTTTTTGGAGTGTCTCTTCATGACATGTGGGCCATGTGACATGTGTATTGCAGCCAAAAGGTCTCGTGCGACATCGCTTGTTCCGCTTGTTCCGCTGGTGAAGCCCTGTGTGAGCCAGGTCAAACGCCCATCCAAGCAGCGGCGCTGGTGTCAGCACTGGGACGCGCAGGTAAGGTCAGTGCGGAAAAGCGCGTCTGGTTGTGGGACTTGCCAGACTGGGGGGAGTCTTGTCGCAACCAGCCGCCACTCTGGTTCGTCCTCCGTGCGTTTCTTGGTAGGGTTAGTGTCCAGTGGACATGGAAACTCCATCAGGTGCTCCGGAAGAGATTCTGGTCGTCCCCTCCCCTCCCAGGCCGTCGAAGTAGAAGAGATTCCTACCCCTAAAGCCTTTTCTTCGGTTTTTCGGGTGCCGGAAGCCAGTGGACGGTGGGAGAGGGCGGGAGACCCAAGGGGATCCATCCCATCCACTCAACAAAGAGACCGACTGCTAGACACTTATAGCTAACGACTACAGCGGTAGACAGTCATGCAGCGGTAGACAGCCTGCGACAGCCTCAAATCGGACCACTCCCTGAAGTGAGTTCACCCATGAAAACAACATCGGTGAACGCTTTGGGTTCGGTCCTGAAGACGCGGGGGGAGCCGGAAGCGGAGAGCGGAAGAGCGAAACGGACGATGGTGAAGATCAGGTGTGGAACTTGATCTTTTTAGACTTTCTAAATCCAAAAAAGAGGGACCCCACAGCATTTGAGGGTTGACACGTGTTGACTCGAAGTGGTGTTTTTTTTCCACACGATCGAGCCTGGCGTCGAACGGTGATTGAAACGGCCCGGCTCGGAGCCTTGCAGCCTCGGTGCCGCGACCAGAGGGATGAACAGCTGATGAGTTCTCATCAACAGTTGGGGTTGGTCAGTAAACAAGCCGACGAACAAAGCTGTTTTGGAACAAGGCCTGCAACTGAACCATCATCATCCAGTGTTACTGGCAATAGGATAGACCCAATCAATAGTTGTCTTTCGCTGGGTTAAACTTCTGCACTTCGTCACTAGTGGCAGACACCGGTTTTGCTTCCCTGCTGAAATACAGGTAACTGCGTCGCGTCGGGTGAATGCACCGACCATTGCGTCGGGTTTCTGTGACACGGGTTGGAAGAGGTGATCAACCACTTCCGACCACCGCGGCTGGGTTCGAACGGGCGAAGAACGAGTGTAGAAGGTGTGCAGGCTGCAGGCAGGTCAAATCGAAGAGGGAGTCCAATCGGCCTGCGCAGGGTGTGCTGTTCCCAGCAACATTTGTCCTTGACAGATCGAGAACATCGCATCCTCGAGGATGCTCTCTCGTGCCGGAGAGCCCTACTTACAACACGACAAACACAGCGGACGCGCGTCCGCGGGGTTGATGTAGAGAGAAGGCTTTTTCTTCGTGTTTCAGCATCATCCCGTTGAAAAGCCTGAGCTGTAGATGGTTTTTTTCCCGTTTGAACGCATTCAACCCCCGCCTTTTCAGAGGTTTTTTACCATCCATGTCCACCTGGGTACCATTCATGTCGCTCATCTCCATGAGTTGGACATCGATGTCGTCCTCCCATGGCGATCGACCTCGAAGACATGGACAAGGAGTTGGGCGGATGGGCCGGGAAGGAGGAGCAAATCAGAGAGGCCGGGAAGGGGGAAGAACGAAGAGGACGGTTTTTCGTGGGGGAACCATATGGGTGATTGAAAAGGAAGCATCCCCCAAGCAAAAGCATCCCGTTGGCACGAATCATGAGGAATCTGTTGGGAAATTTGGGGAAGCTGCACCATTTTGCACGGCCATTCAATATGCGTCAATTGTGCGCTGGAGCAGTCCTGCGCCAGGCAGGAAGAACATCGTGATGTTCTTCTTGCGTTTGTTATTCATCAAAACTTTAGTTGGCACACGTCTGGGGTTGCTTTCTCTTCTTTGTCAAGCAACTGCATCACCTCCCTCGATTGGATAGACAAAGCATAGCTACTTTTGGAAAAGCATGGCCGGACGCAATGGGGGGTTGTTCCCACTTGGGTTGCATGTGACCATCGGGTGGATGAGATGTAAGTAATGCATTTGCATTCAGTAAGCAGCGCTTGCATGTCTTCTTTTCAGACTTGCTTTTGGTTCCATCATCTTCACTGTTATGCGAGTTGCTTGTGCTGGAGATGGGTGGAGTATTGATACCCGAGCAGGGAAGCCTGGTGAGTATTTTGTTCACAAAGCTCTTCAACTAGGTGTAATCACGAAAGGTAGCTTGAGCTACCTGAGTTCTCCTTGCTTTAGCAAAAATGTATTACAATCAGGAGTTGGGATTGTGCATTGAGTTTGGTCCTGTAAGAGTTGATTCTGTTCGTCGGGGGGGCCCCCCCCCTGGATCAAATCCCCCCTGCGCCGGTTCACGCCGTCATGGACTTCTACCAGGGTTACTTGTGATTGCCTGCTACCTTTCCTTCACCCCCTCCTCTCTCAAGTTGGAGTAACCACAAACCGAGCGTCATCCCACATGTGCAAAAACCAACTCCATCCACCCTAAACCCTGAACCTACCGAATCAGAGAATCATGTCATGCGCAAAAACACCCAGCAGCTAGGAGGTGCGGGGGGCCATGGAGCTCTGCATTGCACCATGGGCAACTGCGAACGAACACCGCCCACCCAATCTATCTTGCTCACGATCAGATCGGCTGAAAAAAGACATCAATATACATCAAGCTCCTTTTTCCTCACATGAAACAAACCGGTACGGTGCTTTTTCGCTCCGGTACTCCTTGAAAACCAACTTTTGACCCAAACTCGGACCCCGCAGGCCTTGAAGCGTTGGTACCGCACCGAGCGCCGGCGCTTGCCGTGGCGCGGCGACGCGGCGCCCTGGGGGGCGACGGCCGCGTCCCACGCCGCGTCCCACGCAGCGTCCGGCGCCGCGTCTGGCGCCGCGTCCGGCGCGCGCGGCGTGGACGCTCCGCTGTGGACGCTTGGCGGGTCGAAGTGGTGGGGAGGACTCGGTCGGAGGTGGGTTGGTTTGGTGGTTTTTCGTGGAGGATTGTTTACTCAAGTGGAGGTCTGTGGTTCGGTTGGCGTTCGGTTTGGTGGGCAAAACACATAGCTGCTGGTGGATTTTCTTTGTTTTGACACCACCACCAACGGGAAACTGGAACAGAACTGGCCAGTTCTTCCTCTCCAATCACAGGGAAGGACACAACTCGGGCTGATCTCCTAGGCCACGAGTTCGGAAGACCAGTCCCAGGCAGTGAACTCCAAGTCCCAGGTGGTGAACTCACTGGGCCACGGCGGCCACACTCCACCACTTCCATGAAACCACCACTTCGATCAGCGAAAACGGGGGTGACCAGGTCGAAGTTCGGACCGGCGATGGCGATGGCGCCACGAGCTGATTTCTTGAGGTCGACTGCAGGAAGACATGTGGATCATGTGGCAGACCCAATTCCTGCAGCATCATTAAGGACGCTACGAACGGGGCTCCTGGCCATACTACTAAGCAGGAGCAAAGGGCATCGCGACGAACGGAGCGATCGGACGCTACTAGGAACGCGCCCACAGAGCTGTTGATGCGCCCATGTGATTTGACGCTTCTCATGGCCAGGATATTCGCTGAAACGTCAAGTCACAATTCATGCCCTCGAAATATGGGGATACGGACTTCCTATATGTGTCCTATATACGTTTTGCCACCGGTATATCAGAGTATATGTAATATGATATTCTATATGAAATATGTCTCTCTGCCTATATAGATTATACATGTAAATACACATCTGTTCCAAAGAAACAAAGGCACCGACCTCCAGCATACACCGTCACCGTCCCCTCTTCTCCCTCTGGGGAGGGGGTCGCCAGCGTAGCCCAGGACGCTACCAGCGACTCACGGCGTCATCGACCTGGACCCCTCGGACACCGAGAGCAGCGACGGAGCGCCGCCGAAGTGCTGCGGAGAGACGAGCGGTGCGAGCTACGGAGTTTGGGTCTCTGAAGTGATGCTGCAACAGACCCAGGTCGCGGTGGTGATCCCCTACTGGACGCGCTGGATGAGGCGGAACGGTTGCTCAGGGCAGGTCGCGTGGAAGCTGGAACGGGCCCGCGGCCAGCCCGCGTGGCCGGTGATGGTGGTGTGAAGTCGGTGAAGTCGCACCATGGGACAAATAGGCAAGAATACGACGTGGCGCGCTTTTGTGGTGAAAGCATGCCCAGGAGGTGTGGGGGTGAGTTTGCGGGCGTGGCCCTGCTGATGGTAGGAATGGAATGAGAGGCAAGATGTGTCTCTACTACTGATTCGCCTTTCGTCAAGAAAAGAGATGGGTACCTGAGTGACCTATGATGACCTCCATTTTTTGAACCATCAACCACCCAACCCAACATATGAGCGATGGACAAAAAATTGTTGGTTGACTTATTTAGTCAAGGCATGACCCTAAACCTATGCTGAGGGCTTCACAAGTAATTTTGTCCGCTGCTCATATGTTATTTTTTCAGTTTACATTTTTCAATCCTTTTCCGGTCAAGACAGGGGTCGTAGCTGGGTTCACCAGCTGCAGCTCTCCCTGCGCAATGCCAGGCGCTTTCCCACTCTGAATGATTTGGCCGCAGCCCCCCTGGAGGAGGTGAATGCCCTTTGGGCAGGCGGTCAGTTGCAAAAGAAACAAGAGGTGGAGATGACTTCCCACTTCCGTTGAAGATGGGCATTCTCTCCACACTTCATGGTTTCGTAGGTCCTCTAAGTTTTTCTACTTGGAAACAAATTCATCATATTTCCAACTTCCATCAGCTTGTGACTTTTTTTGTGTGTTTTCTCTGACAGGGCTGGGTTTTTATGGCCGAGCACGGCGTTTGCATGAGGGTGCGAAGTACGTGTTGGCGCAGCACGGTGGTCAGCTGCCCTCAGATGTGACAGCCTTGCGGAAGATTCCTGGAGTCGGGCCCTATACAGCAGGCCAGCAGGGAGAGCCTTTCTGCCACTTCATGTAGACCGTTGGGTGTTTGAGTCATAAAACCCCCTCTTCCAGAAGGGTTTCCCAGTCCTTGGGGGTTTTATCAATCAAAATAATACGTAGTGTATAGTTGGGGTTTCCAGGTTGATTCTTGATGTCCGGGCTTCACCGTGATGCACGGGGAAATGGCTTTAGTCCGGATACGGGACTAACCTGTCGAGCCACGATTCAAACCACCTTAGAGCCCTGAAGGGAATGGACCCACCCAAACCTGGCACATTTGTGGTGCCTAACACAGACGTTGCGGAAGGTAGAGGAACATCGTTCCAAAGCTTCCAGAGGTTTTGAGGGAACTGTACACCTAGCTTTGACCTCTATTTTTTGGAGCACTCACCACCCAGAATAGGACCTTTTCCCCTCAAAACAAGGGTCAAATCATTTTCCAGGCTTTGAAGGATTCACCTGCCCTGCACACACGCACATACACATACCAAGCAACAGGTGCCATCGCCTCGATTGCCTTCCAACAGCCTGCAGCCCTGGTGGACGGCAACGTGGCGCGCGTCTTCGCGCGGCTGAGGGCGATGCCTGCGGCGCTGGGCGTGGCGAAGTCGCAGCGCTTGATGAAGCGCTGCTGGTCGCTGGCAGAGCAGCTGGTGGATCGCACTGAGCCCGGAGAGACGGTTAGACGGAGAGAAGGTGTTTTTCTTTCCAAAGTGGGTCCCGACCGTTTCTGCTGGGCAGGTTCTCTGGAAACAATTTGGAACACAACAGATTGACGAAGATCTTCTGAAGCAATTTTCGAGTCAATGTTTGTGGGGTTCGCTAAACATTGAATGGAGAACCCTGCCCCGAAAGGATCTAAAGACAACTCTCAAGAAGTTTGTAAACTTCTAAATACACAAATGCACCTGCCCCAAACTCCCCAGCCCCCAAACAGTTGCAGCCCATACCTGTGGTGGTGGGGGGTGGAGGAGTCTTCAATCAAGCCCTCATGGAGCTTGGCGCCACGATTTGCACTCCCAGCTCTCCTTCCTGCGAGCGCTGTCCCTTGCGCTTCGCCTGCCGCGCCTTTGCCGCGCGCGCCGCGGGTCCCGTCACGCGCTTCCCGGCGCCGGCCGCGGGAACGGCGCGCCGTGTGCGGCGCCTGGCGGTGGCGGCGATCGAGGCGGATGGGCACATGTGGATGCTGGTGCGAAGGCCTCCGAAAGGTTTGCTGGCAGGGCAATTGGAGTTCCCTTCAATTCAGATGGAAGAGGAGAGATGGATTCAGAGTTTCAGATGTTCGTCCTTTTTTGGTTTGAAGAACTTCATGTTCGTCTTGGTGTTCCTCCTTCATCCTCCGCTTTTTCAGGACGAGAACGGAGTGGAGTCAACGGAAAGCTGCGTGCAACGGCTGACTGCCTTGCTGAAAGGTTTCCAGGTGGACCTGCTGAAGGAGTTGACTCCAGTGGAGGGTGTGCCCTTGGAACACATCTTCTCCCATGAGCACCACTTCATTCATCTCTTCCGTGGCCACCCAGCCATCCCCGCTCCCCAGCCGGCCCGCTCCGACGTCCACCAAGCTGGCAGACCGGTGTGGTGGTTGGGGAGAGTGGAAGCTGAAGAGGCTGGAATCACCAGTGGAGTGAAGAAGGCGGGGCGTGTGGCGTCCTGGCGGACCGGTGCGGGTTGCAGATCGGGTTCGGCGCGGGCCATCGCCGGCCATCGCCGGTTCGATGGGTACACTCGAAGCAGTTTTGGGCTGGTCGACCGAAACTCCACCAGCGCCACGAAACTCCACCAGCGAAGCCCCGCCACCTTCCCAGTGACTCTTCAGAATTGGTAAGTGACCTTTTCAAGGCCTAAGTGACCTCATTCTGGGATCTCAAAAGGTCACTGGGAAGGTCTTGGCGTGTCGATGTGGGTCAAAGCTCGCCCCGGTCAGGTTCTGGACTTTCTCGAGGGTTTCTCCTCCACGAAACGGAGCAGAGGTGAGGATCGAATTCCGAAGAGGATGGAAGAGGGGTGTGGGTCAATACCTTGGCAGTCCATGTGTTTCTTTCTTTCGAGGGTCCAACAGTGTCCGGGTAATTGGACGGATTACTGATGTGCATCCCTGTGGTTGCAGAGCATTCTTGCACCAGTGAAGGTCAATATCAACGCCACGAAGATCCAACGCGTCCATTCTGTTCAAAAGGGGGGCTGTCCAGTGTCCAAAGCCACTTGAAGTTGTTTCCCTCCAATCCATTTGAAGTTTCCAATCATGCCCGGGATTCCTGAGTTCTCAACCACCGAAAGTTCAGGTGGCTCCTTGAAACAATGGAACCCTTGCTTTAGCCAGGGTGGTTCTCAATCCGTAGGGATTGGATGGGCTTGAACGAAGAGGGTGACCCCCTTCCCCCCCGCGAAAAGAGCTTTGAATCCAGCTTTGAACAAACTTGGATCCGAATGAGCTTTGAACAAAACCGCGTCTCTTTTTGCACTACATGTTTTCCACGTTGCAGTCCTGTTTTGAGAGGATGGAACTCAGCGACGTCCAGGCTGTGTTTGTCAAAGCTGGCCCGGTGCAATCACCAGACCGGCGGAGTCACCGGAGTGTACTCACCCACCAAAAAACAGTCTCCTGACTCGGCGTTTGGCGTATTTTGGTGTTCAAGAGTTGAGACTTCTTCGAACCAACTTTTGAACTCTCCACTTTTGCTTATATAGTCCTCCCAAATCCACATCTCCTCGACGGTTCCCTCACACGATCCTCCACTTCGGAGCCTCGCAGGCTCCGACGTGCTGAAGCGCCAGCCGCTGCGGAAGTGGCCGCGGAACTCGACGCGTTCGGGCGGCTCCAGCCGCCGAGGGGAAAAAGGGCCGACTGCCGAACGATGCCATTCGCCGCGAGATGAAGTCACATGGAGAAACACCTGGTTATCCAATAGGATCATGGCACATCTGGTCGATTCGGCTCCTTGGAATCCGGGCTTGTAGACCGGTGTAGCTTCATATGGCAAAGATAATCTTAGAGTAGTGTTTTTGTGGTCTGAAAACACATGTTTTTGGTGAGTTTTGGGATGGATCTGGTTCTTGAGACATCCAAATGGTCCTTTCAACCTTTCCCTTTTCAGGTTCTTTCAGGTTTCTTTTCAGCTTCGTCAGGTGCGAGCGTTGTTTGTGCGACTCTTCCCCCCTTTCCTTGGACTGGGACGCACGAAGCCAGCGTTGTTCGCTGTTTGGACTGGGACTTTGCTTTAAACGGATTCGCTTTCTCCGGAGAAAACCCACGGATTCTGCTGCTGTTTCTGCTGCTGTTTCTGCACCGGACCGGTCGCAGTGGTGTGACCGTCTGGTGGGTCCCTTGGGTGTGGGGGAAAAGGGGAGCACCAGTTATATGGAAGGGAATGGAGATGCAAGTTATATGTTATTGTATTAGTACTATTATTATTACTATTTTCATTAATACTATTAATATATCATTCTACATCTATCATCATATCATCTATACGGGTTCATTCTTGAGGTTGATTGGGTTAAAAAAGGCTTAATAACACTGCTTTAGGTGTTCAGAAGAGCTGAAGAAAAGACCCTGAGGCCCGGGCATTTGGTAAATATCGGAATATGCGTTCCCAATCGATCACTACCATTCGTGTTCTAGCGTTTTGCTAGGCCAGTGACATGAACCTTCTTGCTAAAATCGGAATTTTCATTGACAGGGTCGCGGGACTGAAACGATCTGAAACGATGGTCCTGGTCCGATGGCAAGCTGCGAACCAGCACGTTCGGTTCGATCCCGAACCAGCGTCGAAGACTCGC